ACATTGGACTAGTTTCTTGCCAGAAGGTCATGGGGGACCTTGTCGAAGGCCTTACTGAAATCCAGGTACGCTACATCCAAGGCATTCCCCGCATCTACCCAGCTTGTAACTCTATCGAAAAAAGAGATCAGATTAGTCTGGCATGACTTGTTTTTGATAAATCCATGTTGACTATTAGCGATGACTGCATTTGTTTCTAAGTGTTTGCAGACCACTTCCTTAATAATTTTTTCCAGAAGTCCACGTTTCGCAGGCATAGAGCAGGGTTGGGAGGACAATAGCTTTATAGACAAGCACCTTGGTATCCCTACAGATGTCCCGGTCCTCAAACACTCTCTGCTTCATTCGTAAAAATGCTGCACTCGCAGAGCTCAGGCGGTGTTGTATTTCGGTGTTGATGTTGACTTTTGTTGGAGAGGTACCCATCAATCTAATTTTTGTACCCTGTTTCAGCCTGATGGTTTTTTTTTTAAATGATTATAACTACAAAAACATTTTCATAAGTACAGCTTTAATTTATTGTATCAATATACTCAATCGTCTGAAATGCATCTTCTCCAGTCAGAGTTGTCATTATTTCGCAATGTTTTGGAATCACAAAGTTTCATCAGCATATGCTACAAGCTTATTATCATTATCAGTATCACGATCAGCTCAGAGTTTATTATTACACAGGCTAGCATACATTTTAGTGTCTCAGATATTTCACTTGTTTCTGGGTATATTTGACCTGCAGATTCCAAAAATTGTACCAATTTTTACCTATCAGCTCTAGCTTTTTAGATACAGAACATATGTGTCTATCAGTTGCTGATTTTGTCAGTTTGTCTGGAATTTTAGGCATAATATATGGGAGGAGATTCATGGGTTGACACCATGCACCGGGTAACACCCATGTTACTGAATGAATGAGTTGCACCACTTCTTTCTCAACTGCTTGTGCAAACAAAGGTGTCACCCAGCATTGCCAAATAGGGATTTTCCAGTCTCCAAGTATTGAACTCAATTTAGGCCAGCATCTGTTTCAGCAAGAACAACAAAGAGGTTTGTGCCATTGTGAAAAGAGGCTATAGAAGGGGTTTATGTGGGCCAATGACCACTTTAGTAACTCGCCTATAGCCCTCCAAAACTAATGCTAAAATAAATTTGTTAGCTTTTATAGTGCTACAGAACTCTGACTTATTTCTGGAAACCCCCTGCCATGTATGTCGTCATGGAAGAGAGGTGAAATATATATGTCAAGGATCAATAATCTATGAGGGTTACGCGAGTTGTAAGTTCAGGAGAAGGTGGCTAAGTGCGATGTGTTTCTAAATTAAGGTTTCTGAATTGACTCGCGGGGCAGCAGAAATGTGAGCCAGTGTGTTGTAGTGGATTGAGCACTGAACAACAACTCTGGAGGTCACGGTTCAAATTCCGCTCGGCCACAGCATTTGGTGGTCTCCCATCGAAGTACGAATCAACTTTCAAAATCAGACAGGATTTGGTGCCTTTAGGATATTTAGGCTGCTATGTAACCAGGTAGCTTTACTTATATATGGCTTAGATGTTCTTGTCTTTTAGTCTTGGAAAAAGTTAATTTGATGTGTCATCTTCAAATCCTTTTGGATACTTGGAAAATGGTGTTACATAACACAAAAATACAAAACCTAGATGCACTTCTTGTTGATGCTGATATGGCCAATTGCCATCAAACCAACTTTGTCTTCTGGTGATCCTATAGACAAGAGGCCTACAAGTCAACCTGTGATCAACAGCCTTGGACAGATCTTGCAAACTGAGGGCCATGGCTTCCAAAGTATCCAAAGGGATTTGAATAAGACAATTCAAATTACCTTTTTTTTTTTTTTAGCAAAAAGAGAAGATCATCTGAGCATCACATACACAAGGCTATCAGGTTATGTAACAGCCTAAATAACCTGAAGGTACCAGATCCTGTCTGATCTTGGAAACTAAGAAGAGTCAACCCTGGTAGTACTTGGATGAGAGCAGTAAATCGAATGGTCGAGTGAGATCTGAAGCTCCTTGCTTGAGTCTATCCACGTGTAATATGGTCTTCCTCTTCTCTTAGACATATAGGGCAGTTGAATCTGCTATCCAATGGCCAATGAGGTCCTACAAGATACTCTACTTTGGCAGGAAAAACGAAATGCAAAGATACAGAATGGGGGACAATGCCTGGCTCGAGAGCAGTACGTGTGAAAAAGATCTTGGAGTCCTCGTGGACAACAAGTTAAACATGAGCCAACAATGTGATGTGGCGGCAAAAAAAGCCAATGGGATTTTGGCCTGCATCAATAGGAGCCTAGTGTCTAGATCTAGGGAAGTCATGCTACCCCTCTATTCGCTTTGGTTAGACCACACCTGGAATATTGTGTCCAATTCTGGGCACCACAATTCAAGAGAGATATTGACAAGCTGGAATGTGTCCAGAGGAGGGTGACTAAAATGATCAAGGGTCTGAAGAACAAGCCCTATGAGGAGTGGCTTAAGGAGCTGGGCATGTTTAGCCTGAAGAAGAGAAGGCTGAGAGGAGATATGATAGCCATGTATAAATATGTGAGAGGAAGCCACAGGGAGGAGGGAGCAAGCTTGTTTTCTGCTTCCTTGGAGACTAGGACGCAGAACAATGGCTTCAAACTACAAGAAAGGAGATTCCATCTGAACATTAGGAAGAACTTTCTGACTGTGAGAGCCATTCAGCAGTGGAACTCTCTGCCCTGGAGTATGGTGGAGGTTCCTTCTTTGGAGGCTTTTAAACAGAGGCTGGGTGGTCATCTGTCGGGGGTGATTTGAATGCAATATTCCTGCTTCTTGGCCGGGGGTTGGACTGGATGGCCCATGAGGTCTCTTCCAACTCTTTGATTCTATGATTCTACCTGTTTCTGGTGTCCCTACTTTTCTCTTTGAGTCCTGCTAACATGAAGCTTTTGTTTTTAAGAGAGTTCAGAGTTTTACCTGTACAAGTACTACTGCTCAGATTTGTCAGAAATCTATTTCATTATACATTTTTTCCTATGAAACACCAGAGTTGCTTAAATCTTGTCTCCCAGACAGCTGTTTTGCAGACTGTATTTTATGACATGAGTCTAAGCACTGCCTCTTAGACAAATGTCATTGCGCCGGTGACTACTTTCTCTTTGCTGTTAAAAGCCAATGACAGCTGAATTAGATGAATGGTGTTCACTACACTCTTTCCTTCTTTTCTCTTATGAAGCATTTAGGCAGCTCATATGAGTGCAACAGAGAGATGTAAACTGTAATAATAAAAGGATCAAGCTATAAAAAATCTGTGTCACAAGATAGTTAAAATGAGGAGATCAGGGCCAAGACAGTGACATAACATTATAAATTCAGGAACCTGACAGTAGCAGCTTTTGTTTTTAAAAGCATATAACATGGGCTAGGAATGGTACGCCCAATACTGTGGCATCAGACTGGAGGAAACCTGGAGCAAATATTTATTTATTTATTTATTTATTATGACATTTATATGACTTTTATATACCACCCTTCTCACCTCGAAAGCGGCTTACAAGATATATATACATACAATATATTATATTATTAGCATAGAACAATATAACTATTATATATTACTATATTGTACTATACCGTAATATTATTAGTATTATTACTTGCATTAGGTAAAAGGTAAATGTTGTCCCCTGACATTAAGTCCAGTCATGTCTGACTCTGGGGTGTGGTGCTCATCTCCATTTCTAAGCCGAAGAGCCGGCGTTGTCCATAGACACCTCCAAGGTAATGTGACCGGCATGACTGCATGGAGCGCCATTACCTTCCCACCGGAGCGGTACCTATTGATCTACTCACATTTGCATGTCTTCGAGCTGCTAGGTTGGCAGAAGCTAGGGCTGACAGCGGAAGCTCACACCGCTCCCCGGAATCGAACCTGCGACCTTTCAGTCAACAAGCTCAGCAGCTCAGCGCTTTAACCCACTGTGCCATCAGGGGCTCCCATTGTATTATATTAATTACTTGTATTATAAAATATATAATTATAATATTATATTTTATTTTAACCCACAACCATCCCAAACTGGCAGGAGCAGTCCTGTTTGATCCTTTTTCATCCTGGGACATTTTAAAAATGTCCCAGTTTCTTCCTCCTTTCCCTATTTTCCTCCTTTCTCTTCTTGTTTACTTCTTTTAGTGCAAACTTTGCATTTGGTTAAGGAATGAGGAGAGGCAAAAACTTGCCTTTCCCAGTAAGCTCAGGCAAAAGACAACTGTTGCAGCCCTTCTTAGTGTGTCATTCTTCGTCAAGTGTATTGGTTTTAGCTCTGTCTGCCACTTTAAATCTCATTAAGAGAGAATTGTAGGAGTTGAAGTCCAAAACACCTGGAGGTTCAAAGTTTGTCTAGGCCTGCTTTCACCCGACTTGTTGTTGTTGTTGCTGTTGTTGTTGCCATGTTGACCACATTGTGATGCTGCTGGCCACAAATGTTTTGTTTTTCATTACTAATACGTTGTAGGGCTGCAAATGTCTTTATATTTCCTCCCAGCCCCAAAAATCTAAGAGTAGATCCTAGTGGCACAGTGGATTAAACCCCTGTGCTGGCAGGACTGAAGACCGACAGGTTCGAATCCGGGGAGAACGCGGATGAGCTCCCTCTATCAGCTCCAGCTCTTCATGCAGGAACATGAGAGAAGCCTCTCACAAGGATGATAAAACATCAAAACATCTAGGCGTCCCCTGGGCAATGTCCTTGCAGATGGCCAATTCTCTCACACCAGAAGCGACTTGCAGTTTCTCAAGTCACTCCTGACATGACATAATAATAATAATAATAATAATAATAATAATAATACCAATAGAAGCACTCTGATTCTCTTCTATCCTAGATCAGATAAATAACAAGGGTGCTTTAAGGTGTTGTCACTTCAATGTGATGCTGTTTGGAATTCTTTAAGGGATGCTGTTTGAAATTCTTTGCCTAACTGGAATGTTTCCTCTTTTCTTTTTCCTTTTATTTCAGCGGTGATCCTGCCAACTATCTGGGCCTACTTGCAATCCCTGAATGCTGAGCCCTACTTTTTGGGTTTGGGCATTTCTGCCTTTAGCTTCGCTGGGCTGATCACAGGGCCGCTCTTCGGATACTGGTCCGACCGTACCCGCCAAACCAAGGCCATCATCCTCTTTGCCAACTTGTTTCAGATAGCCGGTAGGTGTTGTTCCTTTCATTACAAAATATTTACCATATATGTGGCTTTAAAAATAACTATCTCTTAAATTGGTTTAAAATACAGGAAGACCTCTGTAACCCATATATAGCTAATCATTTCCAGTGTTATTCTATGGTATGCTTCCCCTAAAAAAGGTAAATGTTTTCCTCTGATATTAAGTCCAGTCGAGTCCAACTTTGATTGTTGGTGGTCATCTCCATTTCTAAGCTGAAGAGCCGGCATTGTCCGTAGACATCTTCAAGGTCATGTGGCTGGCATGACTGCATGGAGCGCCGTTAACTTTCAGCCAGAGCGGTACCTATTGATCTACTCACATTTGCATGATTTTGAACTGCTAGGTTGGCAGAAACTGGGACTGACAGTGGAGCTCACCCCACTCCCCAGATTCGAACCTGCAATCTTTTTAATGATCTTTAGGTTTTCTAGCACAATTCAGTGATACGTTGGGGCCAGAAATTCTTTATTTGATTGGCACTTTGAATTATCACAATCCTTATGGTGTGCCCAGAAACGTATCCCCTACAAAAAGAAAAAAAAAGAAAAGAAAAGGGGGGGGGGCTTACTGAAATCTATACAAATAAAAATGTGTTGCTCGTTTGTGGGATTAACATAACTTGAAAAACACTGGATGAATTGACATCAAATTTGGACACAAAACACATATTAGGCTTTTCTTTTTGTCGTGTCAGGAGCGACTTGAGAAATTGCAAGTCGCTTCTGGTATGAGAGAATTAGCTGTCTGTAAGGACGTTGCCCAGAGGACGCCCAGATGTTTTTGATGTTTTACCATCCTTGTGGGAAGTTTCTCTCATGTCGCCGCATGAGGAGCTGGAGCTGAGAGAGGAGCTCATCCGCGCGCTCCCCGGATTCGAACCTGCGACCCGTCGGTCTTCAGTCCTGCCGGCACAAGGGTTTAACCCACTGCTCCACTGGGGGCTCCTACATATCAGGCTAACGAGTGACTATCACTCATAAAAACACTGAAAAACACAGCTGAAGAGACTTAAAAAGCCAAAAAACCCCCCAAAAAATCACAATATCACAAACATATACACACACAAACATATACACAGACTGGGCCACAGCAACACCTGACAGGGGACCTCTAGTAATGAAAATAAAAATGCATGACAAGTGAAATAGCAGCTATAAAGATAAAATTGATAGTTTTTTGGGGGACTGGGGGAGATGAAAGCAGTAAAAATCCATAAAACCTGATTAAAACTACAGGATAGTGGGGAAGGTTAATAACTAGGGGAAAAAAATCAGGAAAGTGCTTGGTGAAACACATTCAGTTGATGATGGAAGCATCCAGCATTGGGAACTACTATATTTTGGGAGTGGGCAGAGTGGGTCTAGTCATTTAGTAATGCAAAGATGAGCAACTACTTGTTTGGAAACCTTGGAGGACTGAATTACCCTTTTCCCCAGAATGTTGCTTAAGGTATGTTGGGGGCAATTTTGCTTTGTATTACTACATTTTTACTGCCAGAGATAAAGAGAGGTGGCATCTACAAACTGGAGTCATCCATAGTAGTTTTTGATATCTCAAATACTGCAGAAAATTCAATAAATATAATGAAATAACAGAGCCAAGAAAGCCAGTAGCTGAGGTCCCATCTACACTGCCATATAATGCAGTTTTAAACTGCGTTATATTGCCAGTGCAGACTCAGTGTAGACTTGCATCCAGGAGGTGAAGAAAGAGTGAACAGCTGGTGTGGCACGACCAGAGCAAGGTGTTTTTGGAAAATGTCATTGGACTTCATGCCCTTTGATACTCACCCTGTCCATATGCACACCCGGTCACTCTGTCCTTGGCTATTTTGAGCTCTGGTACTTGAGAGATTGTCTTTCTGCTTCAAGCAGTAGGATATATTTCAATGCTATATAGGGTTGCCAGATTGAAAACTGGAGACAGCACTTGATCTTTTAATGATGGTGTAGAAGAGGGAATTTCAACAGGTTGTTTGTTACCTGGTGGTGTGATAAGCAACACCTACTCTCATTTCCTTTTCTACGAAACCATTAAACGAGCAGGAGCCATCTCCAGTTTTCACTCTGGCAGTCCTAGCAGAGAGCATATGCATTGCATGGAAGCATTCAGTGGCATCAGCGATTAAAGGACTGATGGGAAAGATGATTATAATAATAACAATAATAATAATAACAACAATAATAGTGTAACTTTGTGTAACTTTCAAGTTTAACTTTGAAAAAGGAGACGGAGGGCCTGATTCTGGCAGCCCAAGAACAAGCCATTAGAACAAATGACATCAAAGCCAGCATTGACAAGTCGACAACAGATCCCAAATGTAGACTCTGCAAGGAAGCAGATGAAACAAGAGATCACATCCACAGCTGCTGCAAGAAGACTGTGCAAACAGACTACAAGCAGAGGCATAACACCGTTGCTCAGATGATTCATTGGAATTTGTGCCACAAATACCATCTGCCTGTGACAAAGAACTGGTGGGCTCACAAGCTGGAAAAAGTTACAGAAAATGAACACGTCAAGCTACTCTGGGACTTCCGGATTCAGACAGAGTTTTTGAGCACAATACTCCTGACCTCAAGATCATGTTAACAAACAAAGTATGGATTGTCGATGTTGCAATTCCAGGCGACAGCAGGATTGAAGAGAAACATCTGGAAAAGCTGACACGATGTGAGGATTTAAAGATCAACCTGCAAAGATTCTGGCACAAGCCAGTCAAGGTGGTCCTAGTGGTTATTGGCACGCTGGGTGCAGTGCCTAAAGTCCTTGGCCCGCACTTAAACACAATCGGCACTGACGAAATTTCCATCTGCCAGCTGCAGAAGGCTACCTTACTGGGATCTACTGGGATTTGCACGCATTATTCGCCGATGCATCACACAGTCCTACTTGGGAAGTGTCCCACGTGTGATCCAATAAAACAACCAGCAAAGTGATCTTGTTTGCTGTGGACTCATCTTTTTGTGTTTCAAATAATAATAATAATAATAATAATAATAATAATAATAATAATAATAGAAAAATCCGCTGATGACCCAAAATGCAGACTCTGCAAGGAGGTTGATGAAACCATTGATCATATCCTCAACTCCTGCAAGAAAATCGCACAGACAGGCTACAAGCAGAGGCACAACTCTGTGGCCCAAATGATCCATTGGAACTTTTGTCACGAGTACCACCTGCCAGTAGTAAAGAATTGGTGGGATCATAAACCTGCAACGGTAGTGGAAAATGAACACACAAAAATACTGTGGGACTTTCAAATCCAGACTGACATAGTGTTGGAACACAATACACCAGACATCACGATTGTGGAAAAGAAAAAAGTCTGGATTATTGATGTTGCTATTCCAGGTGACAGTCGCATTGAGGAAAAACAACAGGAAAAACTCAGCCGTTATTAGGACCTCAAAATTGAACTGCAAAGGCTCTGGCATAAACCAGTTCAAGTGGTCCCAGTGGTAATGAGAACACTGTGCCGTGCCAAAAGATCTTAGCCAGCATTTGAAAACAATAAACATTGACAAAATCATGATCTGTCAACTGCAAAAGGCCACCTTACTTGGATATGTGCGCATCATTCGAAAACACATCACACCGTCCTAGACGCTTGGGAAGTGATTGACTTGTGATTTTGTGATACGAACTCCAGCAAATATATCTCGTTTGCTGTGACATACTGTGTTTCTGTGTCAATAAATAATAATAAATCTTTATTTATATCCCACCTTTCTCCTTCACGGGACCCAAAGTGGCTTAAAACATATTAAAAAGATGTAAACAACAATCCAAATACATTGCTAATAACTATAAAACATCATAAAATAATAACTTAAAGGAAAAATAATATACATTCACATTCTTGTAGAGATGTGAAGGTCTAGAATCCAGACTGCCATGTAGCCTGCGGATATTCTTATAGCTTTGTCTAAAGTGGAGCAAAGTTGGGTGAAAGCAGGCCTAGATAAACTTTGGCCTTCCAGATGTTTTGGACTTCAACTCCCACAATTCCTAACAGCCGGAAGGCTGTTAGGAATTGTGAGAGTTGATGTCCAAAACATCTGGCGGGCCAAAGTTTGTCCAGGCCTGGGTTAAAGCCAGGAGAGCCATACGTCATGGAGCAAGCAGCAATGGATCTTAGATAAATACGAGTTTTATGCTTGGCCTAGATAAGCTCTTCGAGTAAGTTATCTGGAGATGTTCATTTGGAACTCCGTATTGGCCCAAAGTGTTTCAAAGGTGAAAAACCCAAAACGTATGCGTGCAAATGCCTTCACACAGCACTATTCGGCACTTGCACTTAAAAAAAAAAAAAACTTACTCTGGTCATTGGCAATGCTGGCTGTGTGATTCAAGGATTCAGTCCCGAGAAGATCCGGTCCAAAACAGCATCACATTCATGCTCTGCCACTAATGAATATGAGCAGAGTCTCTCTGCCTTTTATAAATATTTATAGGAACAGAGAAATATTTTCCAACTGAGGTCTTCTAGAGAAAAAAAAATCAATACCCATTTCTCTAACCTTGGGATCGATATGGACAGCATACATTAGCAACAATTCATATTCTAGCTGTGAACCAAATTGATTTACGTAAGATGAAATGGGGTAGAGCCACAAAAGATGGTGTCAAATAAAACTTGTTGACTTTTAGGTGTATCAGATTTTATCATATTTTTTTTTCTGTGACAGGCTTAACACAGCTTCATACTTCATTTTGCTGGAAAATTTGCTTTATTGCCATCTTTTCTTTCAGGGAATTTTATGTACTTTGTTGGTGGTTCCAAATGGATGCTTCTCAGCAGTCGACTTGTGGCAGGTAAGAGATATAATGGAAGCAATTTTCATATTCAGCCTTACTCCATCTAGTGCCCTAGCCAGTGTATCAGAATACAGAACCCATCCATCTCCAGCCAGTATATTAGGGAGAAGAGAATTGGTAACTTTCTTAAACTTTATCCTGTCTTTGTTGCTGCTGTTATTATTGGGCAAGTGGGCTTATTAGCAAAAGATCCTCCACATGTATATATACCAGAATAACATCAACAGCAGTGTGACCCATCACCAGTAGAACAAAAACACACAGACCAATGTCATCTCTTCCATAGGAAGCTTTTCTTTGTAGTAAAATAATATGGCTGCACTGTTTACAAGAACAAAGTTTTCATAACACAAAGTTCTTTATACTTCCTTCTTTGCTTCCACCCTATGCTTCTTTCTCATTCAGATAAACAGCTTCACTCTCAAAAAGCTTCCTCACAGCAAACTTACACAGGAGCTTCACACAGTAGCTTTACACATGAGGCCTTCAACCTGGGGCTTGTTTCACCGAAGCTTCTTACACCAGGTCTTCTCACAGACTAAGGCCTACCTCTCACAGAAGCCTCATTACACATACTGAGGCCTACCTCACACTGTGAGGCCTTTTCACAGACGGAAACCTTTCTCCCACTGAGGTTTACCTCAGACTGACTGCAACTAAGCTCCAGGCACACCTGCTTATATAGGACTGCAGCTTTTGCTGAGTCATTGCATCATTTAACCCTTTCAATGCTTGACTCACATTTTTGTAATTAAAAATACCTAGTTAATTTTTTTTTCTGACAGTTATGTGCCTTTTAGGGCCCAAGCCCACCCAGTGGGTTTCCATGGTTCAAATCCTTGTCTCCACAGAGTTGTAGCCCATCACCAAACTACTATACTATGATAAACCCCTATCCTCCCTTTGCGTTATATATTTCTCTATATTTCCCTTGCAGGTGTGGGGACTGGAGTGGGAGCATCCATCTTCGGCTACCTCACACGATCCACCACTTCTCAGGAGCGTGCCACTGTATTTGCCGCTGTCATGGCTTGCCGGCAGGTTGGGCTACTCATTGGTAAGGTTGATAGCATCACCGGTTCTTGACAGGATCCTAAATACCCTTAGATTTGTTCATCTTGTGTTCCAAGTTTTGATAATTGCATAGTCTTAACTATGATATTACTGCATCAAATGTCTTCAGTTAATGTTACTATTTTGAGTGGGACTGAGAAAATAATTCCTACTGAAGTTGTAGTCATAGTGAAGTCCAAAACACCTGGAGGGCCCAAGTTTCCCATGCCTGGTACAGAGCAAGAGTGGACTATATATAGTTTTGAACCATAATACCTTACCATTGGCCATTGCTTGCTAGGTCTTCTAGAAGTTGATGGTCAAAGAGTCTGGAAGCCTTATGGTTCCCTGCTTCAGGTCTGCAGGATCAAGTGCTGGGATTCCTCTTAAATTGCATCCCAAAATATCCATGCAACTTCTTGATTATTTTGAATTTGATTTTATCAGTTTCATAAGATAGCAACATCAACCCTTGGTCCTGTCATATTTGCTCCTAGGGCCAGCCTGCAACCTCTTTCTGCGGCTCTGTAACTTCCAGATTGGGCCCTTCACAGTCAACAAGTTCACATCGCCTGGGGTGAGTAGTGAGTAGTAGCAAACTCTCTGAATCCATGACTCTACTCTGTTCTCCAGCAGTGGATTGAGTACACTTGAAAGGATGTGGGAAAGGGCCTTCTCTGCTGTAGCACCCTACTTGTCCTCCTTATTGACGGATTTTGAAGCAAGAAAAATAGTAAGGATGCAATAATTTGTGGTTACTGGTACTAATAATCATAGTAGGATTATTTAGTTAGCTCTATAAGAGTAGAATTATACTCTCCCTTTTTTCCGCAGTCTTTTTTTCTCTTAATAATTTCTTATATACACTGGGGAGGGTCAGAACCCTATAGTACATTAAATTGATTAGTAATAGCTAGCATTCAATGTTTAGCGTTTCAGTATGATGTATTAGTTTTAGGGTTACATTAGGTCAGCTTTAATTCTTGTGTGTGTGTATGAATACGTTCATAGAGGTGTGGGTGTAGGTGTACATATATTTTTGATGGCCTCCTCCCTTCTCTCCTTTAGAAAGCTATTAAAAACACATCTATGTAATTTAGCTTATGGGGAGGAGGAGGATTAAGTACATCTATATGCACTCTCGCCTAGCTGCTAATATCCACCCTGTTAATGTGTGATTCATCATTTCCCCTCCAACAATTTGAGCCTAATCTTGGAGTTTATAATGAGATTTTAAGGACTTAATATGTTTGTAATTATGTGTATTGTGTCACATATGGTTTACTTAAGTTGCTTCATAACTTATTCAGTTGCTTTTTATTTGTTTACTAGCCGTACCCGCAATGCTGTGGCCACCTTTCCTCTCTCTTTGTCTCCTTTTTTATTTCCCTCCTTTCCTCCTTCCTTCCTTCCTTCCTTCCTTCCTTCCTTCCTTCCTTCCTTCCTTCCTTCCTTCCTTCCTTCCTTCCCCTCCCTTTTCTTTCTCTCCTTTCTTTCTTCTCTACCTATTCTTGGACTGTAACTCCCAGCAGTCTTCCTGATTGATCTATCTACCTACTATCTATCTTTATCTAATCTATATATCTTATCTATCAGGAGGATTGCTGGGAGTTGCAGTCCAGGAATAGGAAATAGGAAATATGTACGGATTGGGATGCTCTCAAAGAAATCCAAGGAGAAGCAAGCTTCCAGTTTGGAAGCAGTGCATATGGAGCATCCTCCTCCGCTGAAGGGCCTGGTCTAGGGGATGCTGGGAGCTCTCATTTTCGTGCATGTACTGTATCGTCATTTAGTTTTTGGGGTTTTTTATGTCCTTTATGCTGTATTTTGGGAGGGGTTTATGAGTGATGGTCACTTGTTGGTTTGTTAGGGGTGTAGTGTCCGAATTTCTTGTCAATTCGTCCAGTGGTTTTTGAGTTATTTACAATAAATGATTATGGGCAACAGAAAAAGAACAGGTCAAGTCTTGTATGATAAAATGGGCGGAAAACTTAAGGAGACCAATTCAATTCAGGGAGTGGGAACAAATGTGGAACAAAAGTTAAAATATACATATGCTATGGACTTGAAGGAGAACTGGTTTAAAATGTTCCACAGATGGTACATTACTCCAAAAAAATTAAGCCATATGTATAAAAATACATTGGACAGGTGTTGGAAATGTGGTGAAGAAGTAGGTACATTCCATCACATGTGGTGGACCTGTAAGGAAACAACCAAATATTGGTTTTTAATCCATGAGGAAACACAAAAAAAATTAAACAAAAAGTTTAAGAAAAAATTAGAATACTATTTGTTGGGTTTCACTGACTCGGAACTACAATTGGATGAAAATGAAGATAAATTACTGACTTATGTGACAACAGCGGCTAGAATGATTTTTGCAAAGTTTTGGAAAAAAGAACAAATTCCCACGGTGGATGAGTGGGTGGACAAGGTAAAAGAAATAAGAAACATGGATGAGTTAACTTTTTTGTTAAAGAAAAATACCGGGAAATCTATAAAAAAGACAGACTGGGTTCTATTTTATGACTATGAAAAGAATAGAAAAGAGAAAGAAACAAAGAAGAGGTAAATAATCTATATCTATATATATAATAAAGAAGAGTGTTTGTATCGGACAGAGGAATTGTAGAGGGAGGGCGGTGTATGTGGCAGCGTTCTGATTGGCTGCCGCTGTGGTGCTATTTGCATATGGTCTCTGATTGGGCAGCTTCAATAGGAGCCCCTGGTGGAGAAGAGGGTTCATGGCAGAAACGGGGCATGACAGAAGGAAATTTGCATATGGTCTCTGATTTGCCAGCCTCAAATCCAACATTCCGAGATGAGAAAGAGAGGAAAGGAAAGGCCGGGGGCTGGGTCAGAACACTCCCAATATAGACGAAACTTGGCACACAGAGCCCCCATCACCCACTCGACATCCTACTGCAGTTTGGAGGAGTATGAACCATGGATGATGGGACTTGCAGTACCACCACTCACATTCTGAGACCGCTGTTAACCTCATCCAATGACTGATCAGGACCAAACTTCGCACAGAGACCTCTCATGACCCACTTTACGTCTGGTGTGGTTTGGCCGGGGATGGACCATGGATTATGGGACTTGCAGTACCTTTGCTCAATTCTTGAGACCACTGCAACCCCCATCCAATTACCAATAAAGACCAAACTTGGCACACTGAGTCTCCATGACGCACTCTACATCCTGGTGCAGTTTGAAGGAGGATGCACCATGGACGATGGGACTTGCAATACCTGCACTCCCTTCCTAAGACCATTACAACTGCCAACAATGATGGATCAGGAACACAATTTACACAGAGACCCAGCATGACCCACTCTACATCCTGGTGCGGTTTGGAAGAATTTGACAATGGATGATGGGACTTGCAGTCACTTCACTCACTTCCTGAGACCACTGAGACCCACGCCAATGACTAATCAAGACTAAACTTGGCACATGGAGCTTCAATGACCCACTCAACATCCTGGTGCAGTTTGGAGGAGGACAGACCATGGATGATGGGACTTCAAGTACCTCCACTCCCCAAGACTGCTGCAAAACTCATCTAATGACCAATCAAGACAAAAGTTGGCACACAGAGCCCCCATGACCCACTCTACATCCTGCTGCAGTTTTGGAGAAGGGTGGACCATGGATGATGGAACTTCCAGTACCTTCACTCACTTTCTGAGACCTCTGCAAACTTCATCCAATGATGGATCAAGACCAAACTTGGCACATAGACCTCTCATGACCCACGTTACGTCCTGGTGTTGTTTGGAAAAATTTGGAGATGGATGATGGGACTTGCAGTACCTTTGCTTACTTCCTGAGACCACTGAGACCCTCGCCAATGACTAATCAAGACTAAACTTGGCACATGGAGCTCCAATGACCCACTCTACATCCTGGTGCAGTTTGGAGGAGGACAGACCATGGATGATGGGACTTCAAGTACCTCCACTCCCTTCCAAAGATTGCTGCAACCCTCTTCTAATGACCAATCAAGACCAAACTTGGCACATAGAGCCCCCATGATCCACTTTACATTCTGCTGCTGTTTGAAAGAGGATGGACTTTGGATGATGGGACTTGCAGTATCTTCACTCACTTACTGACACCACTGCCACCCTCATCTAATGATAAAGACCAAACTTGGCACACAGAGCCCCCATGACCCACTCCATATCCTGCTGCTGTTTGTAGGAGGATGGCCCATGGATGATGGGACTTCAAATACCTTCACTCACTTCCTGAAAATAATGCAGCCGTTATCCAAAGACCAATAAAGACCAAACTTGGCATACAGAACCGCCATTACCCACTTTCTCTAATAACCCGGGCAACGCCGGGTCCCCAAGCTAGTCTATAATAAAGAAGAGTGTTTGTATCGGACAGGGAGGGCGGTGTATGTGGCAGCGTTCTGATTGGCTGCCGCTGTGGTGCTATTTGCATATGGTCTCTGATTGGGCAGCTTCAATAGGAGCCCCTGGTGGAGAAGAGGGTTCATGGCAGAAACGGGGCATGACAGAAGGAAATTTGCATATGGTCTCTGATTGGCCAGCCTCAAATCCAAGATTCCGAGATGAGAAAGAGAGGAAAGGAAAGGCCGGGGCCTGGGTCAGAACACTCCCAATACAGACCGAAATAGGCACACAGAGCCCCTATCACCCACTCTACATCCTACTGCAGTTTGGAGGAGTATGAACCATGGATGATGGGACTTGCAGTACCACTACTCACATTCTGAGACCGCTGTTAACCTTATCCAATGACTGATCAGGACCAAACTTCACACATAGACCTCTCATGACCCACTTTACGTCCTGGTGTGGTTTGGCCGGGGATGGACCGTGGATTATGGGACTTGCAGTACCATTGCTCATTCTTCAGACCACTGCAACCCTCACCAATTACTAAAGACCAAACTTGGCACACTGAGTCTCCATGACGCACTCTAAATCCAGGTGCAGTTTGAAGGAGGATGCACCATGGACGATGGGACTTGCAATACCTGCACTCCCTTCCTAAGACCATTACAACTGCCAACAATGATGGATCAGGACCACAATTTACACAGAGAGCCCACATGACCCACTCTACATCCTGGTGTGGTTTGGAAGAATTTGACAATGGATGATGGGACTTGCAGTCACTTCACTCACTTCCCGAGACCACTGAGACCCTCTCCAATGACTCATCAAGACTAAACTCGGCACATGGAGCTTCAATGACCCACTCTACATCCTGGAGCAGTTTGGAGGACGACAGACCATGGATGATGGGACTTCAAGTACCTCCACTACCCAAGACTGCTGCAAAACTCATCTAATGACCAATCAAGACCAAAGTTGGCACACAGAGCCCCCATGACCCACTCTACATCCTGCTGCAGTTTTGGAGAAGGGTGGACCATGGATGATGGAACTTCCAGTACCTTCACTCACATTCTGAGACCTCTGCAAACCTCATCCAATGACGGATCAAGACCAAACTTGGCACATAGACCTCTCATGACCCACTTTACGTCCTGGTGTTGTTTGGAAAAATTTGGAGATGGATGATGGGACTTGCAGTACCTTTGCTCACTTCCTGAGACCACTGAGACCCTCGCCAATGACTAATCAAGACTAAACTTGGCACATGGAGCTCCAATGACCCACTCTACATCCTGCTACAGCTTGGAGGAGGACAGACCATGGATGATGGGACTTCAAGTACCTCCACTCCCTTCAAAACATTGCTGCAACCCTCTTCTAATGACCGATCAAGACCAAACTTGGCACACAGAGCCCCCATGATCCACTCTACATCCTGCTGCAGTTTGAAAGGGGATGGACTTTGGATGATGGGACTTGCAGTACCTTCACTCACTTACTGACACCACTGCCACCCTCATCTAATGACTGATAAAGACCAAACTTGGCACACAGAGCCCCCATGACCCACTCTATATCCTGCTGCTGTTTGTAGGAGGATGGGCCATGGATGATGGGACTTCAAGTACCTTCACTCACTTCCTGAAAAGACCAATAAAGACCAAACTTGCCATACAGAACCACCATTACCCACTTTCTCTAATAACCCGGGCAACGCCGGGTCCCCAAGCTAGTAATGAAATAAAAGACAACAAGATCCTGAGATTGGAATGGAAGTCATTTTATTTTATTTTTACTTTTGTATTTTTGTATTTTTTTCTCTTGCTGTTTTATTTTTTTTCTCTTTTTTCTTTAATTGACTGTATTTCCTACTTTTCTATCTTCTTCTTGAATATTCCCCCTCTTCCCATGTATATGTGTTTTAAACAGTTTAATAAAAATCTATTTTTTAAAAAAAGAGTTATGTTAATCCCACAAATGAACATTAATTTTTTATTTGTATAGATATATTATTGTTGGCATTGAATGGTTGCTACTGTGTATTTTGTTGTGAACCACCTTGAGTTCCTTCAGGGAGATTGGGCGGGCTATAAATAAAGTTTCATTCATTCATTCTGCCCGCAGCTCTTCATGTGCCTGGTGTGGCTCCTGCTCCAAATCCTTGTGGTGACTATGTACTATGATCTCCAGCCGTCACGGTCAGGCCGTTCTCCCAGGCCTGTGCCCACAGCGGCACGGGATGCTCTGGAAGAGGAAGAGCAGGAGCCACTCATGAAGCACGAAGCTGGTCAAGTGGAGACGGGAAGCTATGGCAGCACCGTGGTGGTGGAGCACCGGGAACCGTCCCTGGGGGATGAGTGCCGGTATGTGCCCAATGGACACTTGGCGGATGAGGAGGAGAAGAGCCCCTTCCATGACTTCAGCTCTATGAGAGGTGAGCTTTGCCTACGCATGGAAATGGGCATGTGGTCATAAAACACTAGCCCTGTAGGGAAGGTACATGGGACAAGCCTGGGATAGGCAGATCTTGGTAAGCTTGTTATTATAGTAGGCCCTGCATTTTTTGCAGTGCCCCCTGAAAGAAGAAAAACAAACAAAAACTTTCATTGAAAACCTATTTTCAGGAAACTTGAGGTCATTCAGCCAGTCATGCTAGATATTCTACAAATACCTAGAGAAGTTTTATCTCTGAATCTCTAGGTCAATGTTTCTCAACCTGGGGGTCAGGACCCCTGGGGGGGGGGTCACGAGGGGGTGTTAGAGGGGTCCCCGAAGACCATCAGAATATACAATATTTTCTGTTGGTCATGGGGGTTCTGTGTGGGAAGTTTGGCCCAATTCTATCATTGGTGGGGTTCAGAATGCTCTTTGATTGTAGGTGAACTATAAATCCCAGCAACTACAACTCCCAAATGTCAAGGTCTATTTTCCCCAAACTCCACCAGAGTCCACATTTGGACATATTGAGTGTTCGTGCCTAGTTTGGTCCAGATTGATCACTGTTTGAGTCCACAGTGCTCTCTGGATTTAGGTGAACTACAACTCCTAAACTCAAGGTCAATGCCCACCAAGCCATTCTAGCATTTTCTGTTGGTCATGGGATTTCTGTGTGGCCAGGTCTGATTCAATTCCATCGTTGGTGGAGTTCAGAATGCTCTTTGATTGTAGGTGAACTATAAACCCCAGCAACTACAACTCCCAAATGACAACATCAATCTCCTCCAACCCCACCAGTATTCAAATTTGGGCATATAGGGTATTTGTGCCAAATTTGGTCCAGTGAATGAAAATCCATCCTGCATATCAGATATTTACATTACGATTCATAACAGTCGCGAAATTACAGTTATGAATTTCTGTAATTATGTTATGGTTGGGAGTCACCAAAACATAAGGAACTGTATTAAGGGGTCGCAACATTAGGTAGGTTGAAAACCACTGCTCTAGGTCATCTAGCATGATACTTTTGGAGAAATGGCATTCATAACCTTTTTGCAAATGTGAATCTTCATGATTATCCTGAGACCATCTTTTAAAAACCACTAGTCAAGGCACAACCTTGTTAGAAGTCAACTCTTTGAAAAAGTGATGTTTACAAGCATTCATGTAATGGCACACAGGTAACTCAGCTGTTAAACTGATAAACCATGTCTTTGAAGTTTCAGGGACAAAGACATGCCACTGCACCAAAAACCATATATTTGACTAGCAGAGTTTTAAAATATTTAATTGAAGTTGAAGTTGAAATTGCTATTGCCCAAAACATATAATCAAAGAGCATTCTGAATGCCACCAAAGCTGGAATTGGGACAAACTTGACACACAGAACTCCCAACAGAAAATACTGACCAACAGAAAATACTGGAAGAGTTTGGTGGTCATTGACCTTGAGTTTTGGAGTTGTAGTTCACCTACATCCAGAGAGCAGGAGGAGGGCTTTGGGTGGGAGGATTTGCCATCTGTTTCCAAAAACGAAGAGACGGACAGGCAGACAGATCTTCAGCAGTCTCTGCCAAAGGAGTTCCTAAGACTATCAGAAATATGTGTTTACTGATGGTCTTTGGTGACCCATGATAACCCCATGCAATCCCCTCAAGGGTCCCGACCCCCAGGTTGAGAAACACTTCCTTAAAGGCACAAGATCCAATCTGCTTTATGAAGCTAAGCAGGGTCTGTCCTGGTTAGTCTTTAGATGGGAGGCTGCCAAAACAGCCCTATAGCTATAGTCTATAGTTTAGAGGAAGGATGTGGCAAAAGCACCTCTGAGTATTCCATACTAAAGAAATCCTTGTGAAATTCATGGGGGTGTGATAAGTTGATATGCAACATCCTAGTGTCAACAGGAATATGCCAAGGGCAGACAGAACTCTTCTTGTTGTTGCAGAATACTTGAGGGAAGAGGTGGTGGTCCTCCTCACTGCCCAGTTTATCACGCTCTTCAATCAAACTGCACTTGAGGTAAGAGGGTATGTAGGAATGCAGAAGAACTTCCTGACTGTGAGAGCCGTTCAGCAGTGGAACTCTCTGCCCCGGAGTGTGGTGGAGGCTCCTTCTTTGGAAGGTTTTAAACAGAGGCTGGATGGCCATCTGTCAGGGGTGATTTGAATGCAATATTCCTGCTTCTTGGCAGGGGGTTGGACTGGATGGCCCATGAGGTCTCTTCCAACTCTTTGATTCTATGATTCTAAGTTGGGCCTGTGGTATTCTACTCACACCCTTCCTCCTTTCTCCTACAGCCTAGCCAGTCTTGGAAGTTTCAAAGTTGCAGGCTTGCCAACATTTTTTTGGGTATCTTGCTGTAGCTTTAGTAGATGTGTCATAAGGCACATCATTGTGGATTTAAGCTACCTCAAGTGTTAGGACTACAATATTAAGTATTATTATAAGCTGCTGAAATGGTGACATTTCATGGAAGTTGCTGACAATTAGTGGTTACTAATAGCATTACATCCTGAATAGATTACTGCAATGCACTCTATGTGGGGTTACCTTTGAAGACTGTTCAGAAACTTCAACTAGTTCAAGATTGCTCACCGGAGCACCAAACAGGGAGCACACCACCCCCCTGCTATATCAACTCCACTGGCTGCCGGTCCATTTCCAAACACAACTCAAAGTGCTGGTCCTGGCCTATAAAGCCTTATACCTCTCCGGCTCAGCTTACTTGTCCAAATGTATCTCCCTCTACCTTCCGCCTCGTAGTTTAAGATCCACCGCGGAGGCCCTGCTCTCGGTCCCAACAGCCTCGCAAATGCGTCTGATGGGGACAAGGGACGGGGCCTTCTTGGTGGTGACTCCCCGCTCGTGGAACTCACTCCCCAGCGAGATTAGATCAGCATCCTCACCCCTGAAATCATGGTTGTGGAACCAGGCCTTTGGCTAGCAGACATAACGACACTTTGGACATTGAACTGGACCATATGATTGTTATAATAATGGAAATGGCTATATGATTGTATAACTAATGCTATTGTTTTTAATCTATTATGTATTTATGGTTTTATATTGTTGTTCATTGTGATATTGTGGCATTAAATTGTTGCCAGTGTTAGCCAGTCTGAGTACCTGCTCTGGGGTTGAGAAGGGCAGAGTAGAAATGTTGTAAATAAATAATTAATAAATACATTACCAGCACTTGCAGAATCCTTAGTAATCCTTAGTAGTGCCTGGCCAACAATGGCTGCCCACCACGTTTGCAGGCCTATATAAGGGACTGCCAGTCTCTCACTCTCCCATTGACACTCTTGTAGCAGTTGGAAGTCTGCAGAAACAGCCAGGATAGCTCACCCATGTTTTGCAAAGCATGGGTTGCCCATCTTGTTTGTATTTTAAAGCACAAGTTTGCAAAATGTGGCCCTTGAGATGTTGGACTGCAGCTCCCATTAGCCCTAGTCAGCATCACCAGAGGTGAAGCATTCTGGGAGTTAAGGTCCCATAACATCTCAAGGGCCACGTTTTACCCACCTAAACTACATTTGTTCTATAAATGTCAGATATTATAGCCAGAAAGGTAATGTTTTGAAAGTATTGGATGCCTGGAAGGTCTTGCAATCTAAATGTACCTTGAAGCTGTTTTTTATGCTTTTTTTCCATTGTAGACCATGGTAACCCCAATCACACAGAAGTACCTGAACTTTGGGGAACTGGAGAACAGCATCATGTATTTCCTGTGTGGGGTGGAGGTGAGTACTATGAGTCCCGTTAGCACAGAGGTCTTCTAATGTTCTAGCAAATAAATTTGCAGTTAATCCTTTATTATCAGCTTCCTGTCTATGATGTGTATGTTGCAAATAACAAACTTCTACAAACCTCCTATACTAGTTATTTGTTATGTATATAATTCAGATTGCTTACTATCATGTATGTATATTTTGATATGCACTTTCCCCATAACTCTGTATTGTTTGAGGTTGTGGGAGAGACAACAGACTATGTGACCAGATCTGGGACTATTCAGACTGAGACTCCATTTTTAGATATATATTTTTCTGCATCAGAAGCAGTACAGTACAGTTTATGAAGTTAGCCATGTTAGTTAGTATGCAGTTGGTAGTGTCAGTACGCTGCAGTGAGTAAGTAATCTTTATTGAGTTAATGTTCAGTAATGTATTAGACTGAAGAGAGTGTTAGTCTGTATGCAACAAAGAAGAGACTGAAACAGAATGCTTTAGAGAACTTACTGTTTACGCTCTTAACCAATAAGAAATGTACTTGCATTCTGAATACATGAAGTTTGTAAGTAAATCAACTATATTACTTCTAACCAAAACTACTTATTTTTGGTCTCTTGAGAGCATGATTTAAAAGTAATATATTTTATGGAAGAGTAGATGTTTTTGGGCAACTGAAATAACACTTCTGAAGATCTGCTATATATTTTGTTCATTGGTATATCTTTGTTCCTAACAGTTCAGAGAGATAACCAGGTATACCAGTCTAACAACTGAGAAGCCTAATTTGCCTTGCATGAATATTAGTAGATATTTACCACTAAGGATGAGATTCACTCAAATGAGTATTTAACTATTCTCAAGAAGATCATACTTTGCAAAAAGGTTATTGTCGAAGGCTTTCATGGCGGGAATCACTGGGTTGTTGTAGGTTTTTTCGGTCACAACCTCTGAGGATGCTTGTCATAGATGCAGGCAAAACGTCAGGAGAGAATGCCTCTAGAACATGGCCATATAGCCCAAAAAAATCTACCACAACCCAAAAAGGTGATGATTATTCCAAATGGTGCAAATGCCAATTAATCTCCAAAAAAGTCACATTTTCAAAAGGCTATGGAGATTTCTGGATTCCCAAAAGATTATGATCTCTAAAAATAAATGCCTTTCCAAAAGTACAAACCTACATGGATCAGGTTTATTTATTGTAATCAAAAACATTTTGAGGCCTGCTAGCCATTGCAATAAAGTGATTATTCTATCATTGACCGTTTTCTGCTTTGGGAATAACAGAAATAGAAGCTTTGTTTAAAAAGGCTTGAAAGACAACATACAAATGCAATAAGTAAATAAATAAATAAATATTGTTGATATGTTTTTTGAACTGTGGTGCCCAGTTCCAGTTAAAGTCTATGCAAAATAGAATGGTATTATTACTTCCCTCAATCTAGACTCCTATTGGTGCAGCCTAGAATTGTATTGGCTTTTTTGGCTGCTGCATCACACTGTTGACTCATGTTCAGCTCCAAGTTCGACTTCACATGTACCATCCTATATCTGTGGATATAACATAAGGCTGATTCCTGAGTTTCCCTCTTTCTTCAGGTCATTGGGGGCTTCTTCCTGGTGCGCTGCCTTAGCACCCGCCTGACAGACCGTGTCATTTTGGTTCTCGGTCTCATCATCTGCAACATTGCCTGCGTCTGGTGCCTGCTCTTCCTGGCGTGGCCCCGAGGTAACGATGCTGGACAAATGGAAAGTGGGAAAGAAGGTCAATTGGCAGCTTCGTGCCCATCTGTGTTTGACACCTTTCTGTAATCAGCAGGCCTTGAAAAGATTTCGTTTTGGATTGCAACTCCCAGAATCCCCCACTGGTTATACTCACTGACAGATTTGGGGAACTAAAACCTTCTTTATAATGCAACTTTTGCAAGCTCTGTTGATATGTGATAGCTAGCTCTAATAAAACTCCAGCTTCTGCTCTGCATCAGAAAGATTTTCTCAGTTGTAACCTGGAGGAACATAAGACTCTATTTTAGTGGATATTAATGTTTCCAAATCTAAAACTCACTTTTGGGTGAAATAATAATAATAATAATAATAATAATAATAATGGCTTCTAATATTTATTTTTAACAATATATTTGAGGGACAATAACGGTACTTTTGTAGCCCATTTTAGGTCACACTAACTCAGGCATGGGCAAACTTTGGCCCTCCAGGTGTTTTGGACTTCAACTCCCATAATTCCTAACAGCCAATAGGCTGTTAGGAATTGTGGGAGTTGAAGTCCAAAACACCTGGAGGGCCAAAGTTTGCCCATACCTGTTGTAACCCAATAGTAGATTTTTGACTAGGGAGTTACATTGTCTTGGAGCAGTGGTTCTCAACCTGTGGGTCCCCAGATGTTTTGTCCTTCAACTCCCAGAAATCCTAACAGCTGATAAACCAGCTGGGGTGTCTGGGAGTTGTAGGCCAAAACACCTGGGAACTCACAGGGTGAGAACTACTGTTGTAGAGTCTTTGATTCTCACATGCAAGAATAAATTACCGTATATACTTGAGTATAAGCCACGTTTTTAAAGCTTATACTTGAGTCAGAGATATTAATTATTTTTCTCTGTTATTATTATTATTACATTTATTATTTTACTCTATTTTATTGTTATTGTTGTTATTACATTTACATTATTTTACTCTACTTTTATTTTTATTCCATTTATTATTTTAAGGTAAAGGTAAGAGTTTCCATAAGTCTAGTTATGTTCGACTATGGGGGGTGGTGCTCATCTCCATTTCTCAGCCGAAGAGCCGGCATTGTCCGAAGACACCAAGGCCATGACTGCATGGAGTGCTGTTACCTTCCCACAGAAGCAGTACCTATTAATCTACTCCTATTTGCATGTTTTCGAACTGCTAGGTTGGCAAAAGCTGGGCCTAACAGCAGGATTTCACCTTGCTCCCCGGATTCGAACCGCTGACCTTCCTGTCACCAAGTTCAGCAGCTCAGCAGTTTAACCTGCTGATTATTATTATTATTATTACATTTATTATTGTACTCTATTATTATCATTACATTTATTATTTTACTCTATTATTATTACATTTATTATTTTACTCTATTTTTATTATTACAGTTATTTTACTCTATTATTATTACATTTACATTATTTTACTCTTATTATTATTTTATTATTTTAGTCTTTATAATTATTACATTTATTATTTTACTCTATTATTATTATTACTATTATTATTACATTTATGGTTTTGCTTTCTTTATTATTATTGGAAGGATACGTAAGCACATTTACATTGAAGAAGGTTAGAATAATGGTCTAATCAGAGTTGGACAGTCTTATCTTTATTTACAGTGTTATGTAAACATTCAAAAACGTTTAACCTAGGGATGCTTCAATTAATGTAATTTTATTGATATCTATTTATGTTTTGAAATTTGCCCATATCTGCTGCATTTCCCGCCTTCGGCTTACACTCAAGTCAATATGTTTTCCCAGTTCTTTGTGGGATAATGAGATGCCTCGGCTTATATTCGTGTCGGCTTATACTCAAATATATACAGTATTTCAGTTTTCTTGCTGATTGGTGAAATTATACAAATATATAATACCCCAGAGTCAAATATGACTGGACTTAATGTCAGGGGACAACCTTTACCTTTTTTATACAGTAGGCTTTTTGAAGTTTTCCTGTATTTTGGAACTTCTATATGAAAAAACCCTCTTTGTCATACCATCATAATTTCATGGTTTTTCTCATCTTCAGGTTCCTTTGCGGTCCTCCTGACGGAGCTGGTGATTGGTGTGTTCCTACAGGTTCTAGGCTTACCTTTTGTTGCAGTCTCCCAGGTGTCACTCTTTTCTAAGGTCACGGCTGAGAGGACACAAGGTGAGCTCATGGTGACCCACATGTTGTGGCATTGAATCCTGACTTCTTGTAAAAATATTGGGAACTACTGATGTAAATAATGGCAAAAATTCCTGCAGTACTCCCAGTGTGCTTCTCCTTGACCTTAAGGACCTAAATGACTGTGGTCTCCAAGACTTTAAGGAGTCCTTCTTCTCATGTTGTTGTTGTTCATTCAGTTAGTCATTTCCAACTCTTTGTGACCTCATGGACCAGCCCACGCCAGAGCTCCCTGTCGGCTGTCACCACCCCCAGCTCCTTCAAGGTCAATCCAGTCACTTCAAGGATGCCATCCATCCATCTTGCCCTTGGTCGGCCCCTCTTCCTTTTTCTTCCACTTTCCCCAGCATCATTGTCTTCTCTAAGCTTTCCTTTCTTCTCATGATGTGGCCAAATACTTCATCTTGGCCTCTAATATCCTTCCCTCCAATGAGCAGTCGGGCTTTATTTCCTGGAGGATGGACTGGTTGGATCTTCTCGCAGTCCAAGGCACTCTCAGAACTTTCCTCCAACACCACAGCTCAAAAGCATTTATCTTCCTTCTCTCAGCCTTCCTAAGGTCCAGCTCTCACATCCGTAGGTTACTACAGGGAATACCATGGCTTTGACTATGCGGATCTTTGTTGCCAGTGTGATGTCTCTACTCTTTACTATTTTATCGAGACTGGACATTGCTCTCCTCCCAAGAAGTAAGCGTCTTCTGATTTCCTGGCTGCAGTCTGCATCTGCAGTAATCTTTGCACCTAGAAATACAAAGTCTGTCACTGCCTCCACATTTTCTCCCTCTATTTCCCAGTTGTCAATCATTCTTGTTGCCATAATCTTGGTTTTTTGATGTTTAGCTGCAACCCAGCTTTTGCGCTTTCTTCTTTCACCTTGATTAGAAGGCTCCTCAGCTCCTCCTTGCTTTCGGCCATCAAAGTGGTGTCATCTGCATATCTAAGGTTGTTAATGTTTCTTCCCATACTTCTGCATTAAACATTGGCAGAGGAAGCCTTTCTTTAAATACATTAATGGGAAAGACATTGTACATTATACATGTAGAAACGAGGGGCTCATTTATGATTGTTCCACACTTTTAGAACTCCCTGTCTCTCTCTGAAACATTTCAGAAATATTCCTTTTAGCACCTATTAAAAAAACACCTTTTCATTTGCTCAAGTTTCATTTTATCTCTCTCTATTTGATTGGACTACATATGGTTTATTCTCCATGGTTTTAAATGCTTACATTTATGGCCATGAAACTGAGTTTTGGATGAAGATGCAGTGTGTACATTTGAAAGATGGTCTTTATTGATTGATCTCTTTCCCTCTCTGGACTGATTACAATGGTCGCAGAGTCTCATTTTCATCTGGACTGCTGTTGCGCTTGGCCAACTTTCTCTTATTGACTGGGTGGCATTTTCCTGGGTCTTGTTACAGCCAGGTTTGGCCCTCTTGTGCATTTCTGTTGATTTCATGTAATTTTTTTTAAAAAAATCTTGGGTTGTTTCCACCTTCCGCTTCTGAGCAGCGAAGCATTGCGGCATGACATTGCTTCCAAACTTGGGGGAGATAACCAGCTTTCTGTTTCTTTTTTCTGCTTGAGAGTTTTAACACCTTTTAAAGTAAACGAAGTGGAATTGCAAGATCTACTTTGCTGGTACTAATGCAATGTGCTCTGTTCCACTGCCTCAGTCTCATTATCTTTGGAAGTGCAATCAGAGGTGGACCAAGGATGGGCAACTTGTGTCTTTTCAGATGGTGTTGGGCTTGTAATGCCCATCAACAGAGGCAGTAGAGGGAGACGATGGGAATAGGGATGGAAAGCATGTTCACAATTATTCATTCCCAAATCAAAAAGTAGGTTTCCTTGCATTCAAGACCCCCTGTTCTGAAGAATGATTGTGAGTTAGACTTACACGTGGAGTTGGCTCCACCAAATTGCCTGGACAGGACTCCTGCAAAAGTAAATAATAATAGCAAATAATAAAATTGCTATTTTTTTTAATCTGAGGTGACATTTTTCTTAATGTCAGGGGACAACCTTTACCTTTACCTTAACATCTCTCTTAGGAATCTCTAGATCAGGGGTCCTCAAACTTTTTTTAACATAGGGCCAGGTCACTGTCTTTCAAACTGTTGGAGGGCCGGATTATAATTTGAAAACAGCATGAATGAATTCCTGTGCACACTGCACATATCTTATTTGTAATGCAAAAAAACCCACTTAAAAACAATACATTAATTAAAATGAAGAAGAATTTTAAGAAATATAAACTTATTAGTATTTCAATGGGAGGTATGGACCTGCTTTTGGCTGATGAGATAGGGTTGTTGTTGTTGTTGTGTGCTTTCAAGTTGTTTCAGACTTAGGTTGACCCTGAGCGAGGGCCAGGTAAATGAGCTTGGAGGACCGTATCCAGCCCTCAGGCCTTAGTTTGAGGACCTCTGCTCTAGATCCTCCAGCAAAACTGTGGTCACCTTCTGACAGAAGTTGAACCCTAAAAAACTTGCAATTATGGTAATGCAGAAATATTTGGTATCTATATCAAGCAGAGTACAGCATAGCCTGCATAGCTCTTGTTACATCCCGTATAGACTACTGCAACACACTCTATGTGGGGTTGCCTTTGAAGACTGTTTGGAAGCTTCAATTGATCCAATGGGCAGCAGCCAGGTTGATCACCAGAGCAGCATACAGAGAGAGGACATCCCTCCTGTTGTGCCAGCTCCACTGGCTGCCAGCCTGCTACCGAGCACAATTCAAAGTGCTGGCTTTAGCCCAGGGGTCCTCAGACTTTTTAAACAGAGGGCCAGGTCACAGTCCTTCAAACTGGTGGAGGGCCAGATTATAATTTGGAAAAAAAAATGAACGAATTCCTATGCACACCACACATATCTTATTTGTAGTAAAAACAATACAATAATTAAAATGAAGAACAATTTTAACAAATAATTTAAAATACTTATAATTATTAATATTTCAATGGGAAGTGTGGGCCTATTTTTGGCTGATGAGATAGGATTGTTGTTATTGTTGTGTGCTTTCAAGTCGTTTCAGACTTAGGTTGATCCTCAGCGAGGGCCGGGTAAATGACCTTCGGGGGGGGGGGGGGCTTAGTTTGTGGATCCCTGTTTTAGCCTAGAAAGCCCTAAACAATTATGGCTCAGCTTACCTGTCTAAACGTACCTCCCCCTATGAACTACCTAGGAGATTAAGATTGTCTGGTGGGGTCCTGCTCTTGGCCCGCCTTCCTCACAGGTGCGACTGGTGGGAACGAGAGACAGGGCCTTCTCAGTGGTGGCCCTTGGCTATGGAACTCCTTCCCCAGTGACATTAGATCAGCCCTCTCCCTCCTAGCCTTCAGAAGAAAAGTAAAAACTTGGCTTTAGAATCAGGCTTTCGAAGAATAGTGCAGTGCAATAACAGATTTGAAATACGTGCAATGACTATGGAATGACTTGGACTAAGATTATGGGTGGTGTGAATTTCATATGGATTGTAATGTTTTTAAATATTTAACCTGTATTAATTTAATTTTAATATTATTGGAATTGTGGGCTATACATACATATACTTTGGGCTATACATACATATACACTCTCTCTCTCTCTCACACACACACACGCGTACATACACACACACATGTAAGGTATTGAATAATTGCCTATATGTCAGTCGCCTTGAGTCTCCTTTGGGGTAGAGAAAGGCAGGGTAAAAATAGGGCAAATAAATAAATAATAGCCAGTGCAATATGGGATTGTAGTACCAAATTTGGCGAGAAATGCTCAGAAGGCTCTTGTAATGTTTTAAAATTATATTTATTGCTTCAGGAAATCCATCTGGGATAGAAATGAAGAATTCCTATATTTTAGTAGGAAAAAAATCCTCTAAAAATGGCACTCATGTCCTAAAAACTATGGACTTGCTCCATGTTTACAGGAGCAGTGTGTCAGATGGTAAAAGGTAGTTATTATTTTGCTATTGTCTTCTCCATGATAAACAACATAATCCAGTTCTCTTAATCGCTCCTCATAGTTACCCCTTTTGTGCTTGTTCTTCAAGTTTGTTTATTGCTGCAATGTGTTTTTCACAGAGGTTGTTGACAAGGAATGCACTCTCTTGCAGGGTTCAGCCAAGGCCTCCGTCGTTCCGTTGGGGGGATTGCAACCATTCTGGGACCTTTATGGGCTGGAGGCTTGACGGATAACCTCTACATCATGTTGGGAGTCATGATGGGGCTGCTGAGCTTGCTAATGGTGAGTGCCCAGGAATTCATTTTGTGACACCTGTCCTGTACCTGCATCTTTCTAGTTGTATATGTATGGACAGGTTTGTTCCAAGATCTCTGTTGCCTATCAGTCTCCTTAGGATTATAAATCCTTGACAAGATAGCTTGCCTGTGTTTTCTCAAAAGTTTTATCAGAGCTTGGAAAACTTGCCTTTTTGGACCACCATTCCCATGATCTTCCAGCCAGCATAACAATTAAACATGACATATTTGAGGAGACCCTAGTGGTGCAGTTGAGTTGCTGAACCTGCTGACCAAAAGGCTGGCTGTTCAAATCCATGGATTGGGCTGAGCTCCTGCTCTTAGGCCCAGCTCCTGCCAGCTCAGCAGTTCAAAAACATGCAAATGTGGGTAGACAAGTTTTTTCTTTCTCCCACCCGGGACATTCCACAGATATATCTCCTGTGCTATTCTAATAATATAATATAATATAATATAATATTTATATTATAATGTAATGCAATATAATACTACTAATAATAATATGATATTATAATTATATAGCAATATAGCAATCTTTAATACTGATATTGTACTATGCTAATGATATAATATATTGTATGTATATATACCTTGTAAGCCACTCTGAGTCCCCTTCGGGGTGAGAAGGGTTGCATAGAAATGCCGTAAATAAATAAATAATAAATAGATCAATAGGTACCGCTCCGGCTGGAAGGTAATGGTGCTTCATGCAATCATGCCGACCACATGACCCTGGAGGTGTCTACGGACAACGCCGGCTCTTTGGCTTAGAAATGGAAATGAGCACCCAACCCCCAGAGTTGGTCACGATTGGGCTTAATGTCAAGGGGAAACCTTTACCTTTACTTTAAATGTATTTATTGACTTCTTTTTTTATCCTGCTTTACTCAGGGCAGCTAACAATAAATATAAAGCAATGCTAATTGAAGTTATATGAAAACATTAAAAGGCAAATATTTAAAAATTATGCCATTAAAGCCATTATAAACATTAAAATGCACAAATAGTACACATCCACCTCAACATTTCAGGATGTGGGAATTCATTTCTAAAAAACTAGAAACTTTTCTATGCGCTAGTCTTTGGGAAAGAATTCTGAAAGTTTTCTAGTGAAGTCAGGCAAGGAAGAGAAAAGGCGGAGGTTTGGTTTCTCCTGATAGTACCACCTAAGTGGCTGTATTTATCTGATCAGAATTCCATAGTGTGCGCCTCACTGAAAACAATGGTATATAAACTGGGCTTTGCCTATGGCTTAGTCATCCTTACCACCTCAAAGTTCAACCAAACTCCCCAGTTCCTCATGCATGCTCCCACACGTGCCCATTCCTGCAAGCAGAGTGGAAAAGATAGTTCCAGAACTACAGTTTTGAGTAGTTTTATCCTCCACATAGTTTCCCCTGATTTCTATCTCTGCTGGCTGGGCTGAAATGGATGCAGAGGCAATTTCTGAACGGCCTACTCAGTTCCTTCGCTTGGCTTCCTAAGGGCCACTTGTGCCAATGCAGATTTCATGTTCACAAGCTCTTTGTGGGTCTGAAACATGCAGACACACACACAACCTTCAAGCTTGAACTTGCTGAAGAACGTTCAAATGCGAACTCTTCAGCTCAGTATTAATCCAACGTTGCGATGGGTATATCTGCATTCTTACTGCCATGTCCAAATGCGATCCAATTATGAGAGTTGTGGTTTTACATTGTTGATAACCTTCTCTGGAACTCCCTCCCCAAAGAAATAAAAACAGTCCCCTCCCTCCTCTCCTTGAAAAAGCTGCTGAAAACTCACCTTTTCACTTTATCCTATGGAGAGGAGGAGGAGGAGGATTGGGACATTATAAGGACAGCTTTCTGGGATGTTGGCAAATTTATCTTGACCCTGCAAGCTGCTACAAATCATTTTAAATTATTTTTGTTATGTATTTTGTTGTTGTGTTTTAATGGGGCTTATGTGTTTGTTTAGATAATTATGCTGGTTAATTATTACCGGTAATTTTATTTCTTGTATAGTAATTTATGAGTCTGTACTGATGTTTATTTTGCACTGTTTGATTTATGTGCTGCTTATTATCAATGTTTGCCATTTGCCTTTTTTTTGCCTGTAACCTGCCCTGAGTCCCCGTGGGGTGATAGGATGGCCTATAAATAAAGTATTATTATTATATCTTATAATTATATATCTATCCAAAGAGTGCTAGTGTCTTACCAAACTACAACTCCCAGTATTTCATAGCATTCAGCCATGGCACTTTAAAAGGTGTCAAACTGCATTCATTCTACAGTATAGATGCACCCAGTGTTTTGTTTATTTTAGGGGGAGCTGGTTCCTCTTTATTATTATTATTATTATTATTATTATTATTATTATTGTCGAAGGCTTTCATGGCTGGAATCACTCAGTTCTTGTGGGTTTTTTTTGGGCTATATGGCCATGTTCTAGAGGCATTTCTCCTGACGTTTCGCCTGCATCTATGGCAAGTATCCTCAGGGGTGAGGTCCAAAGGCCAAGGCCGCCGACAACAACAACATACAATACACAATAAACTCATAAGCAAATAATAAAACATCAAGCAAAAACAATAAAACAATAAAACAATGACACCGTGACGCAGTTTAAAACCAAGGCCGGGCCAAATGTAATGGGCAAAGTTTAAAAGTGCTGTCGTGACAGGTAATATGTGGAGGTATTTGGGTAGGTACAATGTGCAAATAATCCTAAATCTCTAGCAAATCTCTTTAAAGGTGATAAGTTTGGTCAGTTATGTTACCAATTCAAAACTGTGTAAACAATTGGAGCAAACTCTGGGTATGGCCTCCGAGCCCTCTAAAGTGTATGGAAACTTGGTTTAATAGGAAAGGTGGGCATTGGGAAGGATCTCAAGTGTACCATTAGGTCAGGGAATAATAGGTCCTGGACAGAATAACAAAAAGCAGCAGAAGATGGAGATGCCTTTGATCAACATCTAGAGGACAACATGCACCTCACCCTTTTTGTAGAATGAAATGGAGAACTGCCAGAAGCTACGGAGCAGTTTGTCCCTCTGGTAACCTTGGAGAATTGGCCCTACATTATATATATATAATGTGTGTGTGTGTGTGTGTATACACACATATATACATTTATTTATTTGTTTATTTATTTACAGCCTTTATATTCCGCCCCAAAGTGTACTCAGGGTGGTTCACAGAACACGTACACAGCAAACATTCAATACTATTAAGACAACAGATAAAAGTATTACGTCAGCATTTTTCCCAACTTTGGCGTCCTGGAGGTTGTCCTTTATTTTGGCCACAGGGAGGTGCTGTCGCTCCATGCTCTATGACGAAGAGCCTTGATCACAGACTTCCTCCCTTCTTTGACTGCCGGCATTTTCTGGATTTTCTTTTATGATAACGTAAAATACCTCCCCGCTGGTATTTTATGGTGCCGTAAAATACCTCCCCGCTTAAGTGGTGCCTAAATACCTCCTCTCTTAAGTGGTGCTTAAGAGTGTGTGTGTGTGTATGTACTGTATACAGTACATATACACACTCACTCACTCACTCACTATAACCTCCTCCTCGGTAATATACGTAGGGACCATAGAGGTCAGTTCAGGGCCCCCATTCAGATGCATTCTCCTGTCATCCTTCTTCAGCTGCCCAGCCTCTCTCATGCTGTACTTCTTGACTTGACAGGCCTCTTTTCCTTCCTCTCCAGGTTATGGTAGGACTTTCATATGCATATCTCGTAGAACCACCCATTGGACACCTGTCACCACAAACATCTCGAGAAGAATGCAGCTCATGAAGAGTCTGGTTGGTTGGAGGTGCCTTCGGAAGAATGTGAAATGTGCACTCACCCAGGTGAAAGCTAATGCTCCCATTTGGTTGTGTTCTTTAAAATTCCAGCAACTGGCTGACAGTTTGCGAAACTGGAGATAGGATTCTGTGGGGAGGAGATCAATTGCTTAGCATTGTTTCTCCTGCTGGGCATATTCACTCTTTTCATTTGTAAAGCCTTCTCACGTGTGTGCACACATGTCTGTGTTTTTAATATCTTTTCCTTGACAAATTTGTGGCACAGTGGATGCTTCAGGTTTGATTATGGCAGTTTTCCTTATTGTAATGTGGAACAAATTATCACATAGTGATAATTATGTCCCCTTGATCACTTCCCATGGTGATGATGAACTTTTGTGTGTGTGTGAGTGAATCCACTTGAAGTTTTAGTCTGAACTATCCAAGCTACTAAACCCTCTTTCAATGGTAGGAGTCAGCAGCTTGGATAGCTCCTTTAAAGTTCAGACTAAAGCCCAGGGTGGTTTCGCCAATGTGGAAGCCACCAGTGGCCCATTTCTGAGTATGGTTCACTTGAAATTGGAAGACTCTATACCTGAATGCTTCCTCTATATGTGTATTTAAAAACAAATCCCCTCATCCTAACTCACAGATCAGGGAATTTAAGGACCCTTTCCTGATGGGAGATTCTGTCAGAAATATTAAAAATTAATTGGGTATTTTTTATTACAAAAGTGTGAGTCAAGCACTGAAAGAGTTAGTAGGCCAAAGCCTGTTAGAGTTAATGGGCCAAAGCTAGTGTCGTCCTGAGGAGTGTGAGGTAAACCTCTGTGTGAGAGAAGCCTCGTGTAAGAAAGCTCCAGTACGAAGCCTGCTGCAACCATGGTTCTAAGTACTTACAAAACTAAAGTTCCGGTGGTGAAGACTAGGGGGGGGGGGGGGGGGGGGGGGGGGGGCTGGTGCTTTGCTTCTACAGTGTTGCTAAAGTTCTGGTGGTGAAATTTTCAGAACTCTAACACAACTTTCAAAATTTCATTATAAATGGCAGTTCCTAATAGGTTCTGTCATAAAAATCACCAATAATGAAATAATAATGAAATGTTGAAAGTTATGTAAGAGTTCTGACATTTTCACCACCAGAATTTTAGCAACACTGTAGAAGCAAAGCACCAGGGTCCCCTAGTTTTCACCACCAGAACTGTAGTTTTGTAAGTACTGTATATACTCTAGTATAAGCCTAGTTTTTCAGTACTTTCTTTAGGCGGAAAAAGTCTCCCCTGGCTTATACTCGAGTCAAGGTTATTTATTATTTTACTTTGTTGTTGTTTTACTTTATTATTGTTATTACATTTATTATTTTACTCTATTATTGTTATTGTTACATTTATTATTTTACTCTATTATTATTATTATTACTATTATTATTTTACTCTATTATTATTGGAAGGATAAGTAAGCATCTTTACACTGAAGAAGGTTAGAATAATGGTTGAACCAGTTGGACAGGGTGTTCCGCTAGCCGAGGGGCCCCCATAGAAGTGGTGGTGGGGAAGGGGAGATGCGGCACAAGGAGACCAATAATTCGGCCTAGGGATCGTGTACCAACATTAGTAATTTCAAACCGGTCTCCTTATATGGTAAATTGGTGTAACCAGGATGGCGGTCCCTCCGAATTGAAAGTGGTGCTGTTGAACGCCAGGTCTGTCAATGGTAAAACAACTTTCATCCAGGATTTAATCCTGGATGAACCGGCAGATCTGGCGTGCATCACGGAGACCTGGTTGGACGAAGCGGGAGGTGTAAATTTGACCCAGCTTTGCCCGCCAGGTTTCTCTGTGCAGCACCAACCAAGATCCGGAGGGCGGGGAGGCGGAGTTGCAGTGGTCTATAGAGATTCCATCCCTCTGACCAGGGGCCCCATCCCGCAGTCTACAAATTTTGAATGCGTCCACCTGAGAGTGGGTGACCGGGACAGAATAGGGATTCTGTTAGTGTACCGTCCACCTCGCTGCACTACAGTCTCCCTACCTGAGCTAGCGGGGGTGGTCTCGAGCCTGGCATTGGAGTCCCGGCAGCTCCTTGTGCTGGGGGACTTCAATGTCCACGCCGAGACGGCCCTTTCAGGAGCAGCTCAGGACTTCATGTCTGCCATGGCAACCATGGGGCTGTCCCAACAAGTAACTGGCCCCACTCACAGTGCAGGACATACATTGGACTTAGTTTTCTGCCAGGGATGGGAGGAAGGTGGCGGTGTTGAGGAGCTGACCATCTCTCCGTTGCCATGGACCGACCACTACCTGGTCAGATTTAGGCTCACTGCACCCCCTAACCTCTGCAGAGGTGGAGGACCCATTAAGTTGGTCCGCCCCAGGAGGCTTATGGATCCGGATGGATTCCTGACGGCTCTTGGGGAATTTCCCGCCGCCTCGGTTGGTGATCCTGTCGATGCCCTGGTCACTCTCTGGAATGGGGAGATGACTAGGGCAATAGACACGATCGCTCCGGAACGTCCCCTCTCAAGTAGCCGAGCTAAACCAGCTCCTTGGTTCACCGAGGAGCTGGCAGCGATGAAGCGAAAGAAGAGGGAACTAGAGAGCGTGTGGCGTTCGGATCCGAGCGAGCCAAATCGAACACAGTTTGTGTCCTTTCTAGGGCATATGCCGCGGCAATAAAAGCCGCAAAGAAGACCTTCTTTGCGGCCACTATTGCATCTGCAAAGAACCGTCCGGCTGAGTTGTTCCGAATTGTCAGAGGTCTTTTGAATCCCACCACTCAAGGTGGGAACCCTGATAACTCGACTTCTCGCTGTGAAGCTTTTGCTCAGTTCTTTGCAGACAAAGTCGCTTTGATCCGTTCTGGTCTGGACACCATGTTAAATGCAGTCTCTGTGGATGTAGCAAGAGCACCTGCTTGTCCTATTTTGATGGATTCATTTCAATTGGTGAAGCCCGAGGATGTGGACAAGATACTTGGAGGAATGAGGCCGACCACGTCCATCCTAGACCCCTGCCCATCCTGGCTTCTAAAGAGGCCAGAGGGGGATTGGCTGAGTGGGTGAAGGTGGTGGTTAATGCCTCCCTTCGGGAAGGCAAAATTCCAGCGAGCTTAAAACAAGCTATAATAAAACCGCTGTTGAAGAAACCATCACTAGATCCCACTAAATTTGACAACTTTCGGCCGGTTTCCAATCTCCCCTTTTTGGGCAAAGTCCTGGAACGCGTGGTGGCCTCATGACTCCAGGTATTCTTGGGAGACACGGATTATCTGGACTCGGCACAGTCTGGTTTCAGTCCGGGACATGGAACTGAGACAGTCTTGGTCGCCTTAGTGGATGATCTGCGCCGGGAGCTCGACAGGGGGAGTGTGTCCCTGTTGGTGCTTGTGGACCTCTCAGCGGCCTTCGATACCGTCGACCACGGTATCCTTCTGGGGCGCCTTGCAGAGATGGGTCTCGGAGGCACTGTTTTGCAGTGGCTCCGGTCATTTCTGGAGGGCCGTTCCCAGAAGGTGTTATTGGGTGACACTTGTTCAACCCCACAACCATTGTCTTGTGGGGTTCCTCAGGGGTTCCTCAGGGCTCAATTCTGTCTCCCATGCTGTTCAACATCTACATGAAGCCGCTGAGTGAGATCATCCGGAGTTTCGGGGTACGGTGTCATCTGTACGCAGATGATGTCCAACTCTGTCACTCCTTTCCACCTGCTACTAAGGAGGCTGTCGAGGTCCTGAACCGGTGCTTGGCCGCTGTAACGGTCTGGATGAGGGCGAACAAATTGAAATTGAATCCAAGACAGAGGTACTCCTGGTCAGTCGAGGCCGAACAGGGTATAGGGTTACAGCCTGTGCTGGATGGGGTCGCACTTCCCTTGAAGGCGCAGGTTCGCAGCTTGGGTGTGACCCTGGATTCATCGTTGAGCCTGGAGCCCCAGGTTTCAGCGGTGACCAGGGGAGCATTTGCACAGCTTAGGCTCGTGCGCCAGCTGCGCCCGTACCTTGGGAAGTCTGACTTGGCCACGGTAGTCCACGCTCTTGTCACATCCTGCCTAGACTACTGCAACGCTCTCTACGTGGGGCTGCCCCTGAAGACGGCCCGGAAGCTGCAATTAGTCCAACGCGCGGCAGCCATGATTCTAACAGGAGCGGAGCGCAGGGAGCACACAACCCCCCTGTTGCACTAGCTCCACTGGCTGCCGATTTGCTACCGGGCTGAATTCAAGGTGTTGGTATTGGCCTATAAAGTCCTAAACGGTTCCGGCCCAAGATACCTTTCTGACCGCATCTCGGCCTATGAACCCACCCGGACTTTGAGATCTTCCGGGGAGGCCCTGCTCTCGATCCCGCCAGCCTCCCAAGCACGGTTGGCGGGGACGAGAGATAGGGCCTTCTCGGTGGTGGCTCCTCGGCTGTGGAACGCCCTTCCTATAGACATTAGGCTGGCACCATCTCTCATGGCATTCCGTAGAAAGTTGAAGACCTGGATGTTTGTGCAGGCGTTTGAGTAATTTAGTGCAATCTGGTAATTGAACATAGGAACGGAACAATGGATAACGAATTTGGATCATGCATGGATGATGAGGCGATTGGGGATGGGGTTTGTAATAATTGTGTATTGGGATTGTTTATTAGTTATTAAGGGAAATGTGTGAACTAATTGTCATTGTTTATTGAACCATTACTGTTTTTATTGTCTTTACTGTTTGCGAACCGCTGTGAGTCGCCCTCGGGCTTGAGATACAGCTGTATATAAGCATAGTAAATAAATTTAATAAATAAATAAATATGCTGAATTACAGTTTTATGTAAATATTCAAAAACATTTAACCAACTGATGCCTCGATTAATGTAATTTTATTGGTATCTATTTTTATTTTGAAATTGACCCACAAATGCTGCATTTCCCACCCTCGGCTTATATTCTAGTCAGTCCATTTCCCCAGTTTTTTGTAGTAAAATTAGGTGCCTCGGCTTATATTCGGGTCGGCTTATACTCGAGTATATACGGTACTTTAGAACCATTTAGAACCATGGTTGCACATGCCTAAGCTACTATGTATTTGTTTATTTGTGTTATGGAAACCTTGTTGTTGTAAATAGTGCAACCATATCATTTTACTACAAAGAAAGGCCTCCTATGGAAGAGATAACATTGGTATGTGTGTTTTTGTTACTTTTATCACTTTATTATTTATTTATTTATTTATTTATTATTTATTTCCTATATTTATACCCCACCCTTCTCCCCCTGAAGAGGGACTCAGGGCAGCCTAACAAAAGCATCATACCATGCTAGCATCATAAAAACAACCACAGTACAATCAAAATACTAAAAATATTGAAACAACAATTGTCAACGGAGTAATCAATAGTATATGGCTAGATAAATAGCCACCAGACTGGTAATAGCTCAATGGACTGTATACTGTTTTAATCTTTATGTCTTAATGTTTATGTTTTTAACTGTTATAATGGCTGTTTTGTATTTTATGACGCGGCATCGAATTGCCAATTGGAAGCTGCCCTGAGTCTCCCTAGAGGTTGAGAAGGGCGGGGTAAATACGTTCTAAATAAATAAATAAATAAATAAATAAAACAATTAATTAAGACGCATCCATTAAAATCGAAATCCAAAAACCAGTCCGGGTCAATTCGTTGCCATAAGTTTTGTGATCTTCTTCCACTTGCTGCTCACTGATCAAACACTTGGTCCCATAACCAGGTCTTGATTTTCCTTCTAACAGACAAGAGGGAGGTGGCCAATCTGATATCTCTAGGGAGGGTGTTCCATAGGCAGGGGGCCACTGCTGAGAAGGCCCTGTCTCTCTTCCCCATCAACTGCGTTTGCAATATTTATTTATTTATTTATTTGGGGTACTTCTACCCCGCCCTTCTCAACCCCCGAAGGGGGACTCAGGGCGGCTTCCAACCAGCATACGTTGATGCCTACAATTCACAGAATAAAATACATAATAACAGTAATTATAACAATTAAAACATTACATTAATACAATAAAAATACAATAAAAAGCTATCCTGGTGGCCATCGTTTTGCCAAGTCCATAATTAATAAATTCATTCCACTTATCATAGTCCGTTTCCAAAGCTTTAGTCGTCATTGTCCATTGTCAGTCTGCCAGATTACCCAAAGGCCTGGTCCCATATCCATGTTTTTAATTTCCTTCTGAAAGAGAGGAGGGATGACGATGATCTAATTTCCCCGGGGGGTGAATTCCACAAGTGGGGGGCCACCACGGAGAAGGCCCTGTCCCCACCAAGGGCGGGGCTGAGAGCAGGGCCCCTCCAGAAGATCTTAAATTCCTAGGCTGGACATAGAAGGAGATATGTTCGGACAGGTACGCTGGGCCGGTGCCATATAGGGTTTTATAGGTCAAGACCAGCACTTTGAATTGTGCTCGGAACTGAATCGGCAGTGGTGGGATTGAGAGCAGGGCCTCTCCTGAAGATCTTGGTGATAGTTTGTGGCAGGAGATACTTTGGGCTACTGGTGCTGAACCATGCTGCTGCTAATAAGTTACTCTGCTGTACATTTATGAGGAGGGGCTTTTGTTAATAAGCCCACTCGCCCAACAGATTCATGACACTTTTGTGGTTCAGCTCTTTGTCCAAAAGTGTTGGCAGTTCAGAAACCATTCTGTCAATACATAAATAGGTCAGCTTATACACATGACAGCTGGCAAAACACTTAGCCAAGAAATCTTCTGTTCTTTAGCACTACTGAAACAGATCTACCTATTTTTAAAGCATGTGGCAGAGTTGAAGAGAGTGCTCTTAGATCCGTGTTCTTTATACCTGAATGGCCTTGGAGGAGACTGCATGAATGTTCCCAACTGTAGGATAAAAATAACTCCCTGCCATAAGCGCTTCCTTTCTCACTGTCTGCATAAATTAGTTTTCGATTAGGCATCTTTTGGAAACGCCTGAAGTACTGATGGATAAAGGGTTGCAGCTGGCAGTCTTCTGAACCCTTCAGATTCTGTTCAGACACAGTCGGAGCCTCCTTATTGCCTGCTGCACTTAAGCAGGATAGCAAAGCCAAATGGAGGAGGGGATGGGTTGTCTGCTTCTAATAACCCATCGGCTTCTTCCAAGCTGCTTCTTTTATGGAATTATAGGGCTGGAAGGAACCTTGAGTGCAGTGTTTCTCAACCTGGGGGTCAGGACCCCGGGGGGTGGGGGGGTGGGGAGGGGTTTCAGAGGGGTCACCAAAGGCCTTTCTCTTTCTTTTTGGAAATAGATGGCAAATCATCCCTCCAAAAGCTCCCCTCCACTGTCATTGGCTAACCTTACAACCAAGGGGAAGGCTGTTTCTAAGACTCTAGGCTGGGAGGGGAGAGCAGGTGTGCTCGGTGCATGGCAGTGTAGTGCTCATGTGCAGGCAAGGAAGAGCGTGCAAGGCTGGAAGGAGGCTCGGACCAGCAAGTCCCTTCAAAACATGTGGGCTCTGTGTGGGAAGTTTGGCTCAATTCTATTGTTGGTGGGGTTCAGAATGCTCTTTGATTGCAGGTTATAACAAAGCAGGAAGGTGGTAGTAAGATTTTTAAATTGATTTATCAGATGGGGAAATATATAAAAATAATCCCATCGCTGCTCAGCCAAATTATAACAAAATACCACCTCTACAGACTAGCTCACCAAAATATAGAGGGAGTATGGTTGCTGAACCAACTGTATATTCAAAAGATAGGACCTGGGAACCACTGGAACCGAGAGACTTAAAATGATTCTTCAAAAGATTTCCGCTGCCATCATATTAATAATAAACAGGATGAGGTATTATTGAGAGGTTGTTCAGTAACACACTCTGTGTCACTATAGTTTTCTTTAAAGGCTGTTAAAAGCTGACTTGAATAATACTTTGACCACAAAGGTATTCACACTGAGGCTGGCATAAGTTGATAAAAATAACAAGAACGTTTATTGAACAGGCTTGAAATATTCAGGTACAAATGCTTAATGGTTTCAGTAAAATACTGGCATAAAAAGCTTGTGGTTGTGTTTGAATAAAGATCTTCAAACTTCTGGGTTACAAGTCTTAAAAGTTTCAGAACAGAAAATTACTTCAGGAAATGAATCTCTGAAAGTAATTCCAAAAAATCCCCCTTAGGAATCTAGCCAAAAACCCTGAACTAGACTTCCATAGGAAATGAACAGACCACTAACGGGGTACTGCTCCACACAGTATTCTAGCTATACTCAATAACTGTTCTGAATACAACACAAAAGACTGACCCAAATGACTTCTTCAAACCCAAACTGCTCTCACTAACACCCACACTTCTCTCTACCTGTTCCAAAAACCCACTGGCAAACTGGGAGCTCAAACCTCAGTTTAAAAGTCACTTTTTCCCTTTAGATTACTTAGGCTCCAATCCTAGCCTTCTGCTTTTCTCTCCTAGACTTGAACACACCCCCTTAAGGCAAACCTAACATAAGATGGCTTCTCCCTGTCTCCCTTTCCTAAAATGGATGCCGTGGCTTCGCCAAGCCCACTTCCTTAGGCTTTTGCCAGCTAGGTAAGGTAAGGGATACAAATGTGATAAATAAATAAAAGTAAATAAGTACTCCTTGCATTCGAAAACCCTGTGAAATACATCCAGAATAACACAATTGTGCCGTCTAGATGCACTCCTAGAAAAGTCTCTGCGATAAAGTCAATGGAATGCAGACAGGTCTCTTTCTGTGGGTTTAATTCAAGAGCTCTGTTGGGATGCCTGGTGTGACTGCCCTCCTTCTGTTGTTTCTCATGCAGGTGTCGTTCTGACTGGTGCAGTGGACCCTTCCCAGCTGGATCCTGGTTCCACGTTGCTCATCTCCTGGTGGGATGGGAGGCAGGCAAGAGCTTGGATTCATCAAAAGGAGAGCCAGACAGGCATCTGGCTCTGACTTCCACACTCCGCCTGACCAAATATGCTTTGTTCTTGCCACTTCCCTGGTTCAGTGCTACCCTCTAAGAGTTGGGTTTGCTTCTTTCATACCCTCCACAGCGTCACTCATTGTCTTGCCCCTGTGGGGCCCACCAAGCTGCTATTTATGGACTCTGGAAAGGGACCTGGACTGGAGGTTGTCTGAACAGCCTCACACTTATGAATTGCACTCCGCCTCATCAGTAGGTCAATGAGGCCCATGAATGTTACTCTACTCCACCCTTCCCCAAACCAGTTGCCCTTTTAATGGCCATGCTAGTTGAAGTTGGCAGCTCAACCTGTCTTGTGGTAAGCCACTCACTCCTTTCCTGAGTCTGCAGGAGTGTTTGTGTCCTCCTTTCATCCTCACTAGTCTCCAGCATGGGTGAGAATGATGTAGCCCTCCAGATGTTGGACTGCAGCTACCAGCAATCCTTACCTTTGGCAGTGCTGAGTAGGGTGTGTTAGTAGTTGCTGTCCAGTAGCATCAGAAGGCCCATGTGATTTCTGTCCTCCCCTCAAACCTATCCTTAATCACCTACACTTCTTGTTGTGACCCAAGTGGACACCTGGGGGTTCCAGTGTCAATGGAGCAGTAAACTATTCTGGATTTTAGTCTAAAGGGGGACAAACCCTATCCCCAGAATAGCTTCACCACCTTGGGTAGTCCCTTTGGGGTTCTGACTGAAACTCAGAGTGGAAGTCACCAACTCACCTGCATGGCTAATTGACAATCCTAATGTCAAAGGGAACAGTGGTTGCTAACCGACCCCAGGCTTAAGGGATACTCTTAGAATAGTGATTTCCAAACTTGTCCTTCCAGATGCTTTGGACTTCAACTCCAGGAAGACTCAGGTGCCTGGGGCAATGATCAGGGATTCTGGGAGCTGAAATCCAAAACAACTGGAAGAGCAGAACTTGGGAAGCTGTGCCCTGAGTGTTTGCTTCAAATGAACTTATTGAGATTGGTGGTCCTGGTTTAAATATTTCCTGGCAATTGTAAAAGTAAGAAGAGCTAAGAACCAGACTAACTCCAGTGTGGTTCTGGGACATAAAAACAACCAATCTGATGCCACATCCAAGCACGAAATACTTAGTGGGATACTCGCTAGGAACAAGGAAGCTGTGCCACTGCTTGCTTCTATAACAGTGGTTCTCAACCTGGGGTCCCCAGATGTTTTTGGCCTACAACTCCCAGAAATCCCAGCCAGTTTACCAGCTGTTAGGATTTCTGGGAGTTGAAGGCCAAAATCATCTGGGGACCCAGGTTGAGAACCACTGTTCTATAGTTTGCAGTCCGTAACCACATTGTTTACCATATCTTTAAGCCCAGAATCAAATTCCTAGCAACATTCAACATTGACTATGCTGACCAAGCCTGCTGGGACTTGCCATGGTTCATCAATTGCTTTAGTATAACCTTCCACAATCTGATACTCTAGCTGTGTTGGGCTTGGTCACTTGGGGGATTCTGGAAGTTGCAGTCCCAACACAGCTAGAAGTCACCAGTTGGGGAAGACTGCTTTGAACCTTCTTTTGCTCTAAGACAGTGGTTCTCAACCTGGGGTCCCCAGATGGTTTTGGCCTACAGCTCCCAGAAATCCCAGCCAGTTTACCAGCTGTTAGGATTTCTGGGAGTTGAAGGCCAAAAACATCTGGGGACCCCAGGTTGAGAACCACTGCTAAAAGGTCACTACGCAAATTGTTCTCCAGCTCTCCTGTGATGATGAAAACTGTACTTTGTGACTGAGATGGTTAGAGCAAGGCTGGTGGGGAGGAGTATGCTTAAGTGTATTGAAGGACTAGCCTTTCCAAACCCATTCATTGTTCTCACAGAGACTTTGGAAGTTTCCCACCACCAGTTTAGGAGCCTGTGCATGCAAACACAATCTTTTAATATTGGTGACCACATACTCATACTCAACTGAGGCTTGGACATACGTCTATTGACACAAGTTGTTGCCATCACAGCCAAGGCTTCTTCAAACTCATCTTCACAGTAGGCAGCCATACAATGGCTTAGGATGTAGGATGCCCCATACATACCTCCCAACCACCCCAATTTGGTAGGGATTGTCCAATTACTCCTTCCATCCTATAGGGAAAGGATTAGATGACCTTCAAGGTCTTGTTGGGCCTTCACCTCTCAACAAACCTAGTCACCATAGGAATGCTGGGAGGTGCAGTCCATTAACATCTAGATGAGTTGAAAGAGAGATGAGCTACTTAGATGACTCTTGGTATGATGACTCATAGAAGCAACAGTGGCACATAGAGGAGGTGTTCCATACATTACCATTGTGCCACATGGTTCTCTGTTTACACACATGATTCCAGTTGTATATAGGCAGACTCTTTGTGGATTAGGCTGTGTTTGCTCCTAACATCATTGTCTAAAGCAGGCTTTTGAAATGGCTGGACTTCATATTCATCTAATGGATAAAAGTGGCATGAGTCACAAGACAGATATGGGGTTGTATGGCACCATGCAGTGTAAATCACCAATTGGAAGAAGCCCACCGTATTTGAAGATGTCAGCTCATGATTTTGTCAAGAATGTTTCCTGTCCCCTTTCTTTAATTTCTGTTCTTAAATTATTAATTTTAGTTTTTGCTAATGTTGGGGGTAGTGGCAATGGTGCATTTCTCCAACGGGCTTGGTGTCTGTAAATATGGCAGAAAAAAAATAAACCCACACCCCACAAAATCTGTGTGAAAGAGAAATTTATTCAGACTGAAAGGAAACCTGGGCTGAACTGACAAATTGGCCTCATTCTTTGAAAAGAAATAGATGATTGAGTTGGGCATGGGAACAAATAGCACCCTCAGACAACTGCCAGAGTCTTGAAATGTGGACAAGACCCATGGCTGCTTTCTGATGAGAAACTCCTTTTAAATGAAACTGAAATCAGTGCTCATTAAAAGGGCGCAGGTGATCAGAGGAACATACCCTCCAACTGTCCAGATTTGACAGGGACAGAACCAATTGGTCCTTTTTTATCCCATTTTTTCAGATGTTTAAAAGTGTTATTTATCTACTTTCCCCTTTTACCCTCAGCATTGTATTGTTGGAAAGGTTCCTATAGGCCGGTGGTTCTCAACCTGAGGTTCCCAGATGTTTTTGGTCTACAACTCCCAGAAATCCCAGCCAGTTTACCAGCTGTTAGGATTTCTGGGAGTTGAAGGCCAAAAACGTCTGGGGACCCCAGGTTGAGAACCACTGCTGTAGCCCACCCAGTCTAATCTCCAGTTAGAGCAGGCATGGGCAACTATCGAGGTATCTCCCTTCTAACCTCCGCTGGGAAAATCCTCGCAATAATCCTTGCAAACTGCCTTCTCCCCCTCTCAGAAGACACCCTCCCAGAATCTCAGAATGGCTTCCACCCCTCCAGAGGAACCGTGGACATGATCTTCACTGCACGACAGCTCCAAGAAAAATGCAGGGAACAAAATCAACCACTGTACATGGCATTTATCAACCTTGCAAAGGCATTCGGCACAGTGAATCACAGCGCTCTCTGGACCATGCTCCAAAAAATCGGGTGCCCCAACAAATTTGTGAACATCCTGCAGCTCCTCCATGAAGACATGATGGCAACAGTCGTGGATAGCATTGGCTCCCAAAGTGACCCATTTAAGGTGGAATCAGGTGTCCAACAGGGATGTGTTATTGCCCCAACCTTATTCTCCATCTTCATCGCTATGATACTTCATCTTGATGACACCAAAGTTTCCACCAGAGTGGAAATCATCTATCAGACAGATGGCAAGCTGTTTAACCTCAGCAGACTGAAAGCCAAAACCAAGGTTACAACAACGTCTGTTATAGAACTCCAATATGCTGATGACAATGTCATCTGTGTGCATTCAGAAGAAGACCTACAAGCCGCTCTAAACACTATCGCAGAAGCATACGAGAAGCTCGGCCTGTCACTGAACATCGGGAAAACCAAAGTGCTCTTCCAGCAGTCACCAGTCAATCCGTCTGCAATGCCAGAAATACAGCTTAATGGTGTAACATTAGAAAATGTTGACCATTTCTGCTACCTTGGCAGCCACCTCTCCACAAAAGTCACCATTGACACTGAAATACAACACCGCCTGAGCTCTGAGAGTGCAGCATTTTTTGAATGAAACACAGAGTGTTGAGAACCGAGAACCGAAGCATACCGAGATGCTTCTTTATAAAGCTATTGTCCTCCCAACCCTGCTATATGTCTACAAAACATGGACTATCTACAGACATCACATGCAAGTCCTGGAATGATTCCATCTGTGCTGCCTCCGAAAAATCCTGCAAATCTCTTGGGAAGACAGGCAGACAAATGTCAGTGTGCTGGAAGAAGCAAAGACCACCAGCACTGAAGCGATGGTCCTCTGCCATCAACTCCACTGGATTGGCAATGTTGTTTGATCACTGTCTCCCAACTCTGAATTCAAGAACGGAAAATGGAATGTTGACTTTCAAGCTTTCATCATGTTTTGTTCTCTACCCTTGTTGCTCTTCTCTGAACCTGCTCTATCCATATTCTTCCTAAAACGTGCTGCTTAGAATTGAATGCAGTACTCCATGAGACTCAACTAAAACAGAATATAGTGGGACTATTACTTTCCTTATCATGAAAACTCAGGTGTTATTCATGCAGACTTAACTATGATTTGCCTTCTTTGCTGCAACATCACACTGTTGTGTCTTGTTAAAAAATCTCAATCAAGTATCAGCCATCCTATATGTACATATGGCTTTTGTGACATAAAGGGAGAATTATCCATTTGTATTTAATTTCTGTCCATTAGCTTCAGACCAATTTTCTAGTTTATTGAGGTCCTTTTCAATTCTGTTTGAATCTTGCAGTGTAAGTTGCCCCTTCCAGTTTTGTATCATCTACAAATGTAATAAGGATCCCCACAAACCCACCATCTCAGGAGGTGATACTCAACCTGTGGGTCTCCAGATGCT